ACACACACACACACACACACACACACACACACACACACACACACACACACACACACACACAGCACAAATTCAAATTCATCATTTAGGTCTCAAAGGCAATCATCAAGTCAGCACCTCAGACTTATGTGAAAGTTGACCAGGATGAATCATTCAGAATAAAATACCAACAGTATCACATTCAGGCTTGTAATCAACTAGAATCAACATATAGGGCAGCTGTGGCAGAGTGGTTAGGGGAGTTGCCGGTTCAACCCCCCATTCCAGCCGTCTCAGTTGTTGTGTCCTTGGGCTTCCCGCACAATGCCTCTGATGTGTGTCCCATCAGTGTGTGAATGTGATTAGCACTCATCTCCATAGATGATTTGTACATGTTAGCTTTGTTTGCTGTGTGACGGGGTAAACTGAGATTCAGCTGAGACAGCTAACTGCTATAGTTGAAAAAATTAAAACATCTTCAGATAAAGGCGGTGTTGTTGGGGCAGTGTTCCTGGATCTAAGAAAAGCATTCGACACTGTAAATCATAAAGTCCTTGTCTCTATTAACTAAGTTCAACTTTTCAGAGACCTCTATACAATGGTTTAGTTCCTATTTAACAGACATAATACAATATGTTACAGTAAACAACCAATGCTCTACAGCCAGGCACTCATCTACCGGTGTCCCACAAGGGTCTATACTTGGACCGCTGTTATTCAGCCTATATATTAATGAACTCCCATTGGTCTGTGACAGTGTAGATGTCCAGCTATATGCAGATGATACTGTCATCTATGTACATGGTAAGAATAAAGATGAAGTTGCTTCCAAACTAACAGATGCCATGGTAAAAATAGCCACTTGGCTTAAGCATGTCTGCCTCCAATTAAATTTCTACAAGTTTCTAAAACAGTTGGCATGTATTTTACTAAACAACTAGAAAATACACCAAACCCTGACATATCTATTTTTGGAGAGAAGATCACATTGGTCAAGTAATTTAAATATCTTGGGATTTTGTTTGAAACAAGTTTATCATTCAAACCTCACATCAAAAGGATTGCAAAAATACTTAAATTTAATCTTGCAAATTTTAGGCATATAAGATACTGTTTGACTAATTCGACTGCAAAAACTTTTATGAAAACTTTGAGTATCCTGGTTGGATAGAACGGTGCTATATAAGTACAGTCCATTTAACATATATGAAAACAAACAACACACATTGTTCCCTGCTGGTTAKTGACTTACATATATTTAACTGTTTTCATGTCAAAATATTACACAACTACCTTCATTTTTGCAAGTTTGAAGCAAGGCCAGGTAATTAGTCCTCACTGAGAGATTGATTATTCTTTTTTAAATTATTAATTATTTTAGGAACATGCTCTATCTTGAAGTAAGATAGGACTGCCATCATGTGGCTGATGTGCAGAACTACAGTGCAGATTAACTGGGTTCTCTATAATGTAATATTTAGATGATAAAAGCAGTTCTGCACAGATAAACAGAAAAACAAACTACCGAGGCAAATCCTATTTTCCAAACTGTGCGCTAACAGAACTGTAGTCTTTTCTTCCAGCAACACTGCAGAAAATAAAATCCATTGAATAATCACATATATAGATTTTCCAGCAATGGGTTTTTGATTTGATTTAGTGTTTTAATCGAACCCTCCATTTCACGAATCAAACCTCTTCCTCTCTTTTTGAACCCCAGGTGTGGTCGCCGGAAAGGACCCGGCTCCCCTGTCTCCTCTAGAACCTTCGGTGGCACCAGAAGACGTCGAGCGGATCAGTACGACAGGAGAAAACCCCAGTTTGAGCAATGACTTGCAGGCTCACTGTGTCTCCATGGAAACTTCAAATCTCCAACCTCAAACGCCCAAAGTTGAAGAGAGACTTGAGGATGACGACAAGGCACTCACCATTTCTGAGCTCTCCTACAGGTCTCTATAAAATTATTCAAATTTGCTTGGAAAAACATTTTAATATTGAAATCTATCATTTTTTAAGAACTAAATTAAAGCTTAAATATTTAAATTTACACAGTTCTTGTTTTTCCACATTATAAATCATCTGTTCTTTTGGGGGGGGGGGTTATATTGTGGGGTCTTTTATGTGCAGATTAGAAATAGATCTATTATTGCTGGCTGCATCACACGTTTGACCCAGTTGTGGCATATTCCAGATGTTTTTTCCAACAAACATATTTGATTGCAGGCAGTTAAATGGGCAATATTATGTGTTTCTCAGGCATACATTTAAATACTATACCATAACAAAGTATCTATGTCACCTTTAGCTGTTATTAAAAGGCTGTTTTTTTGTTTGTTTAAAGAGAAAATAAACTTATCTTCTCATCACTTCCTCTTCTAAATGCCTTGAAATTGGCCTCTGTCTCTTTAAGAACCACCTTCCGCGTCTGTCCTGCACATTTCAGTGCGGGTGCGCTARGATGCAGTTTACTTGGCATCTGAAAATACATTTCCTCAAAGGTATTTTGAATCTGAAAGGAGCTTCACTGAGTGAGCAATAGTGGGGCTCAGCAGACAGTTTAAGTTTCACTTTCAGTTTCACCCGAGAGCCTGCAGGTGTCATGGGTGGGGTGTGTGGGGAGGGGAGGAGGAGGTGGGGGCTCTGCCATGAGGAAGCTCAGCTTAAAGACACGTCCCAGAGGCTTTTCTGGTCCCCACCTGTCGTTTTGCTCCTCAGCATGGCTGCCTAAAAACACTGCAGAATTTCTCAAACATGCATGAATGAGTCAAAGCAAGGCTTTGGGCATGTTTTTATGAGAGTATAACATTATAACGTGAAGTAAAACTCAAAAAAGTTGATTTTACATGATATTGCCCCTTTAAAGAATGTGCATTCTGACTGATTTTGCATATCTTCTCCCCTCTTTGCAGCCCCTGTGCCAGCATGCTCCCCACTCCGGTGGAAGACAGCCAAGGAGGCAGCAGCTTGCTCTTCTGCTCTCCGATCCAGAGTCCCGCCCTGCTGCTTAGAGAGCTCCACGCCGACCCTGAGATCCAGGCCCAGCTGGAGGCTGAGTGGGAGCGGGACCGCACCTACGAACACAGCCGGTTGGCCGCGACGAGCGGAATGAGCGGCGCCTTGACCAGCAGCCTGCGCCTGCTGTCGTCCAACGAGAGGGTCAACACGTGCGTGCTCGGCGTGGTCCGCCTGCTCGCCGTGGTCATGTGCGTCCTGCTCGTCACCGTGCCCACGCTGCTGCTGCTGCTGGAGTCGGACATCGACGTGTCGTTCCTCCACGAGATCCGGCAGACGCCAGAGTTCGAGCAGTTCCACTACGAATACTACTGCCCGCTTCGACGCTGGATCCTGTGCAGGATCAGCATGGCCATGGAGAACCTGTGGTCCGACTGAGGGAGGCAAGAAGCAGAGGAGAGTCGTGATGAAATGAGTCAAAATGTCTGTCTTAACTAGTGGATTATTATTATTATTATTATTATTATTATTATTATTATTATTATTATTATTATTATTATTATTATTATTATTATTATTATTATTATTTGCTGTCTTAAAAAATATTGCTATTGAGGTGAAATAATTTCACTTAGTGTTAATTTCTGCAAAACTGCAATACAGCTGATGGCTCAAAGAACTGTAGCAAGGTGTGTCCAACGAGGCAGTCCTGCCAAAATGGCACAGCATCAAGTTTACCTCTTTGACAGGATTTACTTTTATAAGTTAAAAAAAAGGCGAGACTGTAAGAGTTTTTTTTTCTTCTGTTTTTTTAATTCAATCACTTGATAAGATAGACATTTTTGACAGGACTTATCTGAAAAGAAAGTCGTTAAGACTGAGGGAAATTGTGGGGAGAAATTGTGTCAGAAAAAAAAAGGCAAAAGCAATTTGATTTTACTGGATCTTATTTTGGTCTGTTCCCTCCTGATGCTGACAAGCAGAGATTCTAGTTYGCTGTCATCCTGAGAGCGGATCGTCTGATTGGTTAAAGAGCATGTCAGTCATGACGGAGCGAAAAACGAACCCAAGGAGGAATAAAAGCAATGAAAGCCACAGTCAGAGCAAAGGTAAAGATATATATTTTAAAAAAAATGAGCAAAGATATCAAAAATTGCTATGTTAAATAAGTTTTTAATGTTTTGTACATTTTTATGTGATCCAGATCTTTCAGGAATTTTTCAGTCAGAAGATCTACTTTGAGCTTATTTTCAAATTGAGAGTTTACAAAAGATTATTTAAAAAATAAATAAATAAAAAGCGACTTTATTGCAGTTTATCAGGTTGATGGTCGTTGAAAAAAAACCTATTTTTTAAGGCTGCCATCGACATTTGTTGTTTTTGGTAATAACCTGGTTTTATTCTTACAGAAGTTATAGCACAAATCTTCAGCTTTTCAAGATTATTTGATGTCATTTTAGAAACCAGTGGAAGACCAGAAAGAAATGTGTTTGTGTCAGTAATTTGTGTGTTTTGTTGAATTTCTGAATMTTTTACATTTTTCATCGAGGTGGAGAGTTTTAACAAAAAGATTGACAAAGAAAAGGGAACATATGGAAATGCAAGTGGAAGTTCTGATTATGAGGCTTGTTGTTTTGATGATTAAAGGGTAAAGTTTAGAAAAAACTTTGTTAGATTCAGTGGAAATGGAGAAAATGGGATATAATGCAAAAAGCTCACATAAAAGTCATACTTTAATTACACACTGGGTCCATTACACAAAGAAAAAGAGAGTCTTTAATATAATTAAATTAAGTAAACAGTTTGGTGCAGAAGATGTTAAAGTGATAGTTCAGTTCTTTAAAAGTGAGGTTCTATGAAAAGCTTTTCAATAATCATTACCCAAAATTTCATTGCGATTCATTTGAACGATGCTATAAACCTCTACTTTGCTATCAGTTTTACGTTTGTTATTAATGTCTTTATTTACAAGTGCAGACAGCAGCTGCTGCAGCAGCCAAGTGTAGCACCTCCTGCACAACTTGAAACACTTCCTGCAGGACTTTCATCACATGTGCCAGAAAAACTATAGAACTGACAGCAATGTGAAGGTTTATAAAAGAGTGTTCACCATTTTGGTTTTGGCCCTGTTCAGATTGGCCATAGCCTTTTTAGTCCTGTCAAAATGAATCCATATTTCCCCAAAACTGAGTCTTTTTAAAGAGATACTTACAACAGGTAAGACATTAGGCTCTTTCATAAAACAATCTTTTCACATGTCAGTCATTTCGGCTCTATTACTACCTTCCTTTCACAGCACAAAAATGCATCCAGAGTGGCTTTGAACCTGCTTGCCGCCTCAGTCCATTCGGAAATCACGAGGCGACCAGAAGATGTTTATGTCCAGGACTGGTTTGTCATATGAAAGAATCCATTAACTGTGAATATGCACTTTATAAAACCCCACTTTAGTAGACATGAACTATCCCTTTAAGACCAAACAGGTAGTTTCCTCATCACAGAAATTAAAAAGGATTTGTTGCCATAGATCTAAAAGTATTCATGAAAACATTTACTGCTGGTCTGGTTGAGGTTTCCAAAAGTGCCTAACACAGATATGCAAAGTGATGCCAGCTGTTTACATTGATTCACTGCTTGGAGTCCAGTGAGAGTGTTGCTTCATCAGTTGATGCACAACAACAGTAAAGAGACATAAGGAAGTCGCTTCAAAAGGTTTTCTGTGACTTTTGGAAACTTACAGCCACAGTCAGCACATTTTTGTTTGACACGGAATCAGTTTACATGTGGCTAGGAAAGAAATAGACATTCAGTGATGATTATAACTTCAGACCATACATGTTAATCGTTGTTGTGTTCAAAAAGTATTTTCATTTTTGACAAACTTCTCAGGAAAGATGTTAGCAATTTATGTTCATTATAAAATTAGGTGTTTAAAAAGTACAAAAATGGACCCCATATTGCTTATCCATAACCATCATAATATGCTTTTATGAATATCTTATGTGAAGTCAAACACACAGTAAATATGACTGCAGCCTGCCTGATCGTCGATGTTTGCATCCATGTCATATAAGAATAACATAACTCGTGGTTAAGGTCAGTAATGGAGCCAGTTTGGCCAATCTTTTTCAAAGCTCACACAGAGGCTCTTTATGTCGTGTAACATATAGACTTTATGCATTWACAAACTTTATGCATATAGAAAATATGCAGCAACAGAAACATACTTAAGAATAAAGCATTTATTTTCTTACTACAGCACATGCACTYACTTTCAAAGGTGAAACCAAGCAAAGGGCCAAAACACTACGACTGCAATGTTAGCTTTTCACAGCCCAGATCTGAGTTGAGTGTCGTCTGTCTGTGAATTAGGCGTGTATGATACGGCCTAAACAACTCCATGAACATGGGCTTATATTTCTGTCTTTAAGTGTTTGTCTTATATGCACATGTGGGAAATACTCTGCAGWTTCAAAAATAATAAAAACAAACATGAAGAAGTGTCTGTAAAGGCATCACGTGAACACCGCTATAAAGTTAGTTTCTGGTTTCAATCCGTGACTTTTTGTGCTTCATCTTCCCCTAAGTAAGTAGGGGGGTCTTTCTTCTGGCTCCATAATCCCTCCATGCAAATTGCATGCCCTCATCTGTAAATAATGTGCGGTTAGCTGTGACAAAACAGGCACACACACAAAAAAAAAAAACACAATGAAAAGCTGAATATTTTCTTTTTCTCTTCGCTGTGTGTCTTTGTCTGTGTAAAGCAATCTTGTTACAGGCTTGGCTGTCTCAACCATGCTAGATAATTGCATGTTCTTTGTGTTTTTGTCATCTGGAAGAAGAAGAAGACGAAAAAACATGTCTAATGTATTCATGAAAGGGTTCCCACCCCCTCGTGCAAAACTAGGCTTTAACTTTTGGCATTAAACTGACCCGATGTCGTACACGTGGTTGCTAATGTTGTAAAAGCAAAGCTTATCTCAGTTTAACCATTAAAGCGATGTCTCATTAAAATAATTTGGAACATATAATCATTGAATCTTCAGAAAGAAAATAGCTGTATAATACTGGTTAGCTTCATCACGCTCTTTCTGTTTGTGAGCCACTGAAGCTAAATGTTAGTGCTAACAGAGCATYTTAGCATATTAGCTATCATAAGCAGCAGTTTGAAAAGAAAACATTAAAGTCTTTGTTAAAACACTTTAACTAAAGGATGAAATTCCTACTGAAAACATAACCTCATTGACAGAGTTTTAAAAAAAGCTAAACATTAGCTCATTGCTAACAGCATAAAGGCCTTTTGTTTCTAAGATAAACAGATCATGGTCCACCTGGCATAACACTGTAGCATTATAAGTTTACAACTCATTTGTTAGTTTAGTTCACATCTTTTGCGATAATGTTTATTTTGAGTTTTAGGTCTGCCTTGAGAAAATGAATCAGTGATGSCGTGTTTGACAAGCAGCAAATTAGACAAATTAGTCTAAAAGTCCTGCAACGCTTGCTTTGATTGAAACTGTGATTCAAATAAATGACATGCAGCACAAATCCCACACACTTTATGATGTCACATATGAGTTAATGTTACCATTAAACAAGTTCCTGTAATGAGTCAAGTATTTATAAACCTTAAATTGAATGACATGGCTTTAAAGTCAAATAAAACAATGAAAAAAAAAGGTTTTAAAATATAAACGATGTAAATGTTTTTAATTCATTTATTTTAAGATTTTAAATATTTGAACTCAGGTCTAATAAAGGCAAAAATGCTGAATAATAAGTTTTAAAAAAAAGGAAATAAAAACCTGCATATTATTTCAGTGTCATGTACAGTATACAGTAGCAAATTCTCTTGCACGGTCCCTGTGGTGTTTTTAAACAGATTGTTTTGTATCTTTAATTTGTTGGACTATTCTTGTTTTCTTTTCATTTTTTTTTTTTTTTTTTTTTTTTTTTTTTTTTTTTTTTTTTTT